AAAAAATGAAAAAAAAAAAAAAAAAAGAAGAAAAAACTCGTATCTGGTATATGCTAATTTCATTTTTTTTTTCTTGTTTAAGGAAAAGAAAAGAGTGTTCGTTTGTAAATGAAACAAAAAAGAAAAATGGTCCATTTGCAAGGATTGCTGATGTCATTTATCATGTGAGACCCGAAGCCTTTTTCAGATGTTGTCATACTCCTCCTCTATTCCACTCAATCCCCCCACAATCACCAAATCATAACATATCCTCCAACACCTTATCCTTCCTTTGACGCTGACTCGCATTGTAGCTACAAAAAACACGACAAATCTGCCACATCATTCACATTCGCATTTGCCCTTCCCCTTCCCCTTCCCCTTCCCCTTCCCAACGAATTTTGGGCAAGAACGAACGGGACAGGACGAAATCAAGAATAAAATCCCAAGTGTTCTCTCTCGTAAACCGAAAATTCAAAGCAAAAGCATAAGAAAAAGAAATGAAAAGCTTCCGACCTTGAGTTGTGTATAAATTCGCCCCACCACTCGCAATTTACCCAAATTCCTTTTACCCATTCGTCTCTCACTCTCTTTGCAATCCCCCTCTCTCCTCCCTCCCTTGGCCTCACCCTTGATTATTTCAAATCTAATCAAACTCACTCTCGAAAGTCAATGTGGGGAGAGGCACATAATTTCTTGATGATCTCTCTTTCAGAGTTCTTCCACACATTCTTGTAGTTGTAGGGCGTTTTAAATTGGGGGTTAATGTGTCTCTCTACGTAATCTTGGGCTTTGCCTAAGACTACCACCCAAATATAAGGCAACGTGTTGAATTTCTTCTCCGTGTTATATCATCTTGTATTATAATCTTTTGTTTTTTAATTTAGCAAAGGGTGTGTTAAGGTTGCTGGTGGGTGGGTTGTTTATGGTTTAATGGCGAAGTCCTGCTCGTTTGCCCTCCGGTAAAGTAGAGCCGATGCTTCCACCCTGCGCATTACTCGGACAGTTTAAACCCAACAAATATATAATTACAAGTTTTAAACATCTACGAGAATTTGAAATTTGGAACAAGAATCTCACCACCCTGGATGGACCACGAATCTGCCAGTGGAGAGAGCCCAATTCACCTGTTCAAAACAATGGCAACTACAAACATCAACACATCGCATAGGTTCAGTAGTTAAATCAGATATATACATATATATATATATATGTTATATCTATACATCCCCCCGGTCCAATGATATTTTAGCCTCAAGCTGCCTGCCTGCAAACTCTTATCTCATTAACAGGTCAGTTGCAAGGAGATTTCAACAAAATTTCCACATAAAAACTGAATCAATGAATCCCTAAATACACATCAGACCCGAGTCCACAGTTAAATGAGCGGTACACTACCTTATCAGTCCCAAGCGAGTTTGCAACGACATGGGTAACCTGTTCATCGATCTGGTTGGTGCACACCGCACCAAACTGTTCAGCTGTCTGCCACAGCGGATGCAGGTGAGGATTTGCCTCACCAACTGGAAAAACCCTGCTAAACACTATACGGCAACCAGCCAAAATCCTTTGTTGCTCGGAGGCCAAGATATTTCTAACATCTACTTCATCTAATACAGGATGGGAGAAAAAGGTTTGATGAATTCTCTGAATAACCTATTGGACCAAAATTTAAGATGATTAGGTGTAAAATAGATTAATTCAATGCAATATGGTGAATAAGTGAATCACGTAATTACCGCCAGTGAAGAAGCCAAAGTACCATCTTCAGGTCTCTCATCATGGTCAATCTCTAGAAGAGAAGGACCCAGAAGCCCAAATTGGCGCCTACTACATGGAAAGTAAGTATACCTGCATTGGAAGGCAGCAAAAGCAATGTCATGAGCTCTCAAATTCGTGGGGTTATGAAACGTAAAAAGCATCTTTTAGTTAAGAGGGATGGATGATATGCATGCCTTTCTACGACAATCAAGTTCATTTTGTTATGTGGCCACACCCTGATGGAATCATCAATTATAACAACAGCAGATTCCATGCCCAAAACACCCTCCAAATCCTTACTCTTGGGTACCCTTTCTTCCCCATCCAAGGGGTCTCCATCATCACCTCGAGAAAGAACTCGCCCGGCAAACAGAACCCCTTTTGGATCAAGAACCTTTGCCATCTCCGTTGCATATAACTTGTTTCCCATTGTGTACAAATGAAGTTCATAGAGCTCGCTGGCCTGAAATGCAAAAGAAACCACATGCACCAAAATGTGCATTCAACATCCAGTACAACTTTAAAAGAGAATATATTTTTTTAAAATTATAAAGAGAGATAAAAGAAGAGTCTTCTATTATTTGGATTAGTTGTGTTGAAAACAACTTCAATATTCAACCTACCTTTTCCAAAAAGTTCCAGACCCCAGGCCGTAGTTTGGTCCACATTCCCATATGAGGAAATCGAAAAAGATGTCTCTGCACCTTCTCACGATCCTGTTCCTCCTTCTTCCTCAAAATTTCATCATGCACTGGATCTACTTCCACAAACTAGAACAAGAACAAACCAAGTCATGGGATTGTAATTCCAAGTCGATGGTGAAATCAATTTTCATTTGTAAAAAGAAAAATAACCTTAGCTGAATTCAGAAGCGTGTGATCCAAATCCAAAACAAGGCAGAGTTTGCGTGCAGCAAACATTTTTTTCTGCTCATCTATCCGTCTTGCTCTTTCTCTCTGGATAGCAGCCTTTTGCTTGTCATCATAACCCTCAAACAGATGCTCAAGATCTCCCCATGCACCATGTGAACGGGAGGGGCCAACCATATCTACCACTTGGGTAGCAGTTGCCACAATTTTACTGTCAATAGAGCTTGACCCAACAGCATTAGTATCCTTTATGTCCAATTTAACTGGCTTTGAAGATGAATTGTGAGAAGAAGTTGGTGGCGAGGGAACAGACATGATATCAGCAATATTTTTCAGATTGTTAGTGAACTGTCTACCAATGTCAGGTAGTAATGGTTGTGAAGAAGCTAATCTCAAATTTCCCTGGCCTTCTTGCTTATGGCCATTTGGTACTATATCCCTACTTCCTTCTGGGTTTGGAACAGCTGGTACAACACTTTTTAACTGCTCATTTCCCATGCTGCCAACCTTGTGAAGAGAATTACCATGGAGGATACGGCGAGGGTCACGAGGTTTCATACGAACTTTTCCCACATCATCCTAGTGAAACATGTGCAGAATCTAAAATAAGTACATTATTAATCTAGAATAAAAATACAGATACTACACTACACAGAAAAATTGAAAATAATAAACAATCTCACAAATGTTTCAACGGCATAGAATTAGAATGTAACCAAGAAAACGCGGAAAAAGCACCTTTCACCATTTGTTTGAATCAAAGAATGAGTTGTATTAGAAAAAAGGGAAAAAAGAACATTTAATAAATTCTTGAATCAGATTAGAAGAAAGATGAGCCCAAGCACTTGTGTAAAGGATACTACCAACCCCTTGATTGGTAAACGATCCCTTATCAATCAAGTAGACAAAAATAATGAGAAGTTTTATAATGCAAAGAGTTGTGATGTAATCAATCACTTACCACAGTGACCACCGGTGGTGAAGGTACACTTGGTGTTCCTGCTGATTGCTGCAAAATTCCTGAGGTCAGAGCAGGAGCATTTACTAGTGGACTGGATCCTAGACAAGGATTCACGGCCGTAGGACAAATTGCATTTTTTTCAGGTTCACTCGACTTTAATTTCAATTCTGCAGCTACTTGCTTCTGTTGGTTCATTTTAAGTAAACTTAAGAGCATGGTTGGGTTCACAACAATATCTTTCAACAGTGAGGGCAAGGAAGCTTCTTTGCTAGCACTTATCGTAGGCCCACATGAATTTCCGGCACCAGAATTGTTTGTAACGTTGTTTTTTTCTGTTGCATTTGCTTCAGCAATCTCCATCTGATTCCTGCTTGAAAGCCTGGGAACAGCGGACATGGTATCTTCCAACCAGCCACCGCTTCCAGAGCCAGCTCTCAAATCACTTGCAGAAAATGCATGATTCTGAGATCCAATCCTCTGCCTTTTCATTTCAGGGGCATCTATATTAGGCTCTACATCCATCTTCTGCTTTCTCAGGTTTACGGTTACAGCAGATTCTACAACAGAAGGACTCTGCACAGACGTCATTGTGCGTGGATTAAGATCCATAGCACTTGCCTCAGAATTGACCATTCGTAGCCTAGGGTCTCTACTTTTTGCCAAAGGCTTTGCTATTGGATTAGACACACAACTAGGAGGAGCAACGTTTGAAGGACTAATCAGTCCTTTAGTGCTGGAACTTTCCAGGTTAGGAAAAAGACCTGTAGATATGCTAGAAGCAGACTGTGACACCGTTTGAGCCAGTTTAGAAGAATTTGAAGCTTTTGAGCTTCTTAAAATGGAAGAACTAGAAACCTCCCCACCAATATCACCACCCCCATCACATTCTTCTGAAGGGGTTGGGCTAGGAAGTCGATCAGCCATTGAAAAGGAACTTCGACCAAACTTCTGTTGATAGGTTGAAACAGCTTTTAGGGCATCAGTTTCATAAGGATGTACTCTTGATCCATCCATAGCATGTGCCACCTTCACAGGGATATGCCCTGATTTTTGGACAGAAAAAACTGTAGGAGCTTCTCTAGTAGGTGATGGGAGACTGTCCACATCATGATCCTTGTGAAGGTCTAACAGAGGGAGTAGGGGACCTCTACCCTTTACATTGGGTACTCCAGATAGCAAACTATCTGATGAGAGATTTAGGCTATTTTTTACGGTAACCCCAACAGGCATGGAGTCTGAAGGCAACTTAGTTGAAGAAGTTAAATGTGGAGTAGCAGTTGCATATGCAGAATAAAAGTCCTTATTTTTCACCCCATTAGGTATATGGATCTCGACATCTTTGGCACTGGCTCTCATGTCGGGGAATTGGTCGAGGGAATCTGTAGATGGCATTTTGACCTCTACCTGTAGAAAATATTGTGGCTTTAGCTTAGCACCTAATCACAACCTCCTCCATAAGTTGCCAAAATCAGCATAAGGAGTAACAGGCAGACTAAGGAAAGTATACTGTACCGATTTTATCTGCTCAGGAGAAAAAAGAGGAGGGTTGCAATTTTTTACAAAAGAAAGCAACCTATGAACAATATCACAGCAAGTGGTCGTTAGATAGTAGACAAACAGAATAACCCTTCACATGAAAAAGAAACTACGGACAAGGATGAGTAAAAACCTTGATAAATGTTGCTTATACTCCTCTTTTTCCTTGGGGTTCATGGAACAAAACACCTGAGATGAAAATGAGTGTTCATTGTCATTATCATCAGTTAATAATATACGTTAAATAAGATTTCCCGACAAAATGAAATTTATTTGGCAAACGAAAGAGGACCGAGATTCTTGGGGTGCCTTACAGAATTGATTATTCGAAGAGCAGCATACAATCGTTGAATGAGCACATCCTTTCTCGGGACTACCTTTCCCTGGACCAATTCCAGAAACGTCTCTATAGAACTAAGCAGTTGGGAGCAAACTTCCTGAAACGATCTACAAGAAAGAAACGAGACAGTAAATTTTCCAGGAACCCGGTAATTTCATATTGGGGACGCATGACATAGCACCATTCAGCAATTGATCTACAACGTAAGTAGATGGATTCACTTACTTCTGTGCAGCGTCGATTGTAACACCATCCAATGTTTTGTGAATCAATTTGAGTTGATCATCCAATTCCTTATTTTTTAAATCAATCTCCTGACAATCAGTATCGAGAGAGTCGGACAACATTGGTTTGGAGTCAACAACCTCTTCTACGAACTCCGTATCCATATCAATTTCGCCCTCCTCCAATTCACCTTCTTCTTTCTCGACATCCGCATTGTCGCTGTTCATGTCGTCGCCGGTAATGTCAATGATGAGCTTAGCCTCTTCTTTTGTACCGTTTCCATGTTCCTTGGCATTCCGAAAAGGAGAGGAAGAAGAGCGGTTGGATTTGTCGTCGGGGTCGGCGTCCATAAGAAAGATTTCATTGAGAGGCTTATTCTGCACTGCCTTAGCCCAAGCTAAATTGTACAAACCAGGAGCATAACCACGACACATGGTGGGATAATTGTTATACAAATCACTCATGGTCCAAACTGTAGTCTCCCGATTGGAATGTTTGGAAGGCAGCAGCTTAGGAGCAGTTTCAAGCTTATTAAAATCCTCCTCAGTGATCTCCTCAACTGAAGGTGTATCAGAGATTTCCCCTTCTTCGACGTCTGGAGTTTTAACACAGTTGGTGTGTTTCCCCATTAACCCCACCTAGGGTTTCTTAGAAAATTTCGAGAAATGGTTCGAATGAGATCCGAAAAGTACCATAAATAGCATGAAGTTGTTAGAAAATGTGGAAGAAGCAATGAGGGAGAAGAAGCGGATGGATGTTGTTGAAGGGAAATAAATGGACGCATTCAAAAATTAGATTAAAGTTCGGTTGGGAATTGGGGAGTTTCTTCGTTGTCCCTTTGCGGAAGAGAAGGCACGCGGAAGGAAGAAAAAAGTAATGCGATGATTGATTTGAAGAAAGCAAAGCGAGTAGGAAGAAGAAATGAGTGGAGATCTGGAAATCCGCAAAGCATTTGGAGAAGAGAATGATTTGGGGAAGGGATTGTGTTATAAGGAGACGGGGAGGGGGGAGGAAGATACGGAGAGAAAATCAAAATCAAAATCAAAAATCCAAAAATCAAAATCAAAAATCAAAAATCAAAAATCAAAAGACGTAGAATGGGTTACGTGGGTCTGGGGGGGTGTTCATTACTCATCACTCATGGGTGGGTGAGTGATTGGGTCCGTCCGACTCCCTTATTTTGTTGCTTGATTTGGTTATTAGCCTACAAATTAGGGTCCTCACAACTAACCCAAAACCCTAATAAACCATTGGTGTGACACTGAATTGGATGCCAAGTATTCCCACTTTCATTCTGGGCCTTGACGTCCACCACCTCCCACTCGCCCATTTCCGTATTCCATATTAAAGAAGACTGGAGGCCGAGGCCGAGCCCGAGCCCAAGCCCAAGCCCAAGCCCAAGCCCATATTGTTAGTTTGAATTATAAGAGAATAGATAGAAGACAAAGAAAAAGAAAAAGAAATGAATTAAGAATTTAAGAAAGAAGAGGAAGAATGGGGAACAGGGGAGTAGTAGGAGTAGGAGTAGTGAAGAAGCATGATGTGAGGAATGGTTGAGGAATGTGGAAGCAAAGTAAAAGAGGAGTGTTTAGAGGTCCATATGTTGTCTCTAATCTGCTGCATCGTCAACCAACCTTCCACCTTCTCCCCTCTGCACCATATCTCTACCTGTGTTTCATTTCCATTTTCCATTATTGTTAAATTATCAAATCCAATTCAAATAAATAATAATTACAAACATCGACTACTAATTCCACAACTCTCCCAAGTCAACGAATACAACAATAAGGCATGCAATAGCTGTCTGTTCCTGACATCGACACAGCATGCAATATCAATATCATACTAAATAAAATAAAACAAAAAGGGTATGTAATTAGAGTTGAGTTGACTCCTCATTATAATACTAACCAAACGGAATGTCTTCCTATCAACATACACATAATAATAATTCAAGTCTTGAATTATATGGTATTGGTGACATCAATAATGGTAGAAAATAATGAAACAAAAAATTATAAATAATGCGTAGGAAGAAACATAACCTCATTTTAACATCATTTTAACGCCATTTTAAAACATACACGCATCTCCTTCGATTTTTAAATAAACCTTCTAATCTTTCATTATCTGCAGTAACATCAATTCTTAAGTTTCAATTATATTCAGGAACAGCTATGAATAATACAAACTTCTTAAGGTTGTTGGGTTTGGTGTAGGTTTTTATGTTTTGTTTTACACATAATCCCATCATTTTAAAATTAAATCTGTTCATCAACTTTTAATTATCTTTTTCTTTTTCTTTTTCTGTTTTTTTTCAAGAGAGAGAGAGAGAGAGAGGAAAAAGAGAAAAAAAAAACACAAGTAGCTGGTGGATCTCTGAGGTTAGGTTAAACCTAAATAACCAAGATTAGGTTAAACCTAAAAAAAACACAAGAAAGATTAGGTTAAACCTAAATAACCAAGATTAGGTTAAACCTAAAAAAAACACAAGAAAGATTAGGTTAAACCTAAAAAAAACACAAGAAAGATTAGGTTAAACCTAAAAAAAACACAAGAAAGATTAGGTTAAACCTAAATAACCAAGATGGTAGAGAAGGGATTAACATATTAAATTCGATTTGTGGGTACCAAATTTTATTGAAACAATATGTGTGTTGAAGAAAAAGGGGAAGAATAAGGAGTATTTTGAGTGTGTTTATTAATAAATACCTCTGTTTCGCTTTCCAGTCTCAGCTTTTTCACCAAATACTTCATTACTAATCCAACCCTCATCCTTCCATCCCTTCACAAAACATTCAAATTTAATTATTACACCCTTCATAAAACTTAAGAAAAACAAGAAAATAATAATAATAATAATAATAATAGAAATGATACTTGACTCTCAAGTAGCTGGTGGATCTCTGAGGCAACGCCGGCTGTTTCCCTCTACATTACAAAAAGTAAACAGAAAATCAGCAAAAAAAACAGTAGGGATTCACAAAAGGTTAAGACGGGGTGTAATTAGGTTGAGTTTTCATACTGGTTTAATTCCAAAGGTTGGAGAGAAAACCAAATCCCGGATTGAGGGCGGCGGGGAGGGTCGATTACCCTGAGGACGTCGGAGTTGGAGGTAGGAGAGTGAAGTGCAGGGTGGAGTTGAAATGGGGTGGAGAGGTGAGGCAGAGATTCATTTATTTTGAGTGGTTGAGGGCGGTGGAGATGAGTGGGGGCGATGCTAAGGCGGAGCCAAGCCTTATGAGGGGGGGCGGAGGGGTCATGAAGAGAGTTATGGGAAGAAGACTGGAAATGAGTCATCGCAGGAAAAGGAGATGAAATAGGAGGAAGGAAGGAAGTGAATTGAATTTATATGAATGAATGTTGCAAATCTGAGTTCCCTTTGATTCTGTTTGTTTGGAAGTTTGCGGGCGGGGTTGGAGGGACACAAAAAACAGAGAGAGTATGAATAACAAGGTGCCCACTCCTTGCTCTTTATATATTGTGACCACCAAAAAGGGTGTTTGTTTTTACAACATCGCATAAAAACCTCCTTTTCATTATCCCACAATTACATTCTGCCTTGGGGAATTTAATTTGATTTGATTTAGAGATTAGCCAGAGTGGAAGGCCATAATCAGAGACGAGGAGAGGAGAGGAGAGGAAAGGAAAGGAATCCATCAGAGAATATTGTTAAACAAACAAGAGAATATTAAATTTGAAAAAAAGAAAAGAAGAAAACAGAGAATGATGATGATGGTGTTCGTCCTCGATCCGAGAATCGAAACATTCAAAAAGACATATGGGATGGGTGGAGTTTTTATTTTATTTAATTTTAAATTCTCTTGGCATTTAACAAATTCAATAATATACTTGTTCATTAATACATATATAAAAAGGCATGGGACACGTACCCAAATTAAAACATAAGTTATAATAGTGTAAAATTGTGTTTGATCTGAAAAAGCCGACCATTTTGTTTCCAACCCATCGATCAATAAACAAAACCCTGTCCTTTATCTTCTTTCTCTCTCTCTCTCTCTCTCTCTCTCCCTACAAATTGAAAGAGAGAGGGGAATATGAGGAGTTTTAATTTTGTATCCCCACACATCCTTTCTTGCTTTCTTGCCCTCTACATTCCCCTTTTTTGTTTTTCCTTTTAACCTTGAAGTAGGAACATGTAATTTGAGTATTAGATTAAGAAAAATGATGAAGGAATAATGAAAAGTTTTATAAGAAGTGGGTTTAGGGTGAGTGTGCGTGTCAGTGCATGCATGTGGTGGAACTGAAACTGTGAAACTGGGAATATGAGGGTGAAGGGGGAAAGGGCATGGGAATGTGGGGGCACACCGGATGTCAGATATAGATATGAATGAACAAAGCGGCTTGTTGGTTTAATGTTTTTATTCTTTTATTACTTGGTTTACAGACATGGAAGGATGAAGGAAGGAGCAGTAATTGAATTTAGGGTTTGGGTTTTAAGCCCCACACCAGCACAATCTTGTGATGGAGACAAGTCTTAGTTAGAGGGCACCCAAAGCTAAGATTCACTTTTTGTTTGTGTTCCAAATTTAAGAACTTGTTTGAGTTGGGGGGCTTTTTGTTTGTGTTCCAAATTTAAGAACTTGTTTGAGAAATGATTACAAAGCCAAAAGGGTTCCCACTTTCTCTTCAATTTTGTTCACTTTCTTGCCTTCCAATATTAACCCAACTGCCTCCCTCTTTTCCTTTTCCTTTTTCTTTTCTTTCTTTAAACTTTTCATATATTCAAACTCTGTATTACATCAACAATATTAAATAGGCCAAATATAAAAAAGAAAAAAACAAGAAATGACAGCAAGTGGGACCCAGGGGGTGGGGTGTTTGCATGGACGTGCGCCGGGTGTGGGTCCCTCCCATCGGAACCTGACTGCGCGTGCAAAGCCGGACTTCATGGGGGGGTCTCTCTATTTCCCTTTTTTTTATTTATTTATTTATTTTTTTTTTACAATAATGAGACTACTATTCTCACTTCACTCATATCATAAAATAAAATCCTTTGTTTTTGTAAATAATAATAATAATAACCCAGGGTGATGAACATAGATAAGGCCCATTGGGTGTGTAAGTGTGTTGGGCCTGTTTTTATTAGTTTCGAACTTAGGATCCGCATCTATCCTATGCATCCTTCTTTCCTTCCTCAATCCCTCCATTTTCAATTTTACTTTACAACTATTTAAACTCTTCTAAACCTCAAAAATGCTATTTCAAATTAAAATCAAATTCATTTCCGATTCAGTTCCCTTGTTGTTTAATCCCTCTCTCTTTTCCCCATTCCTTCCATATTCAATCCTTCAGTATATTCCGGCGTGGGCAGCGTCGTAACCTTCTCATTCACCGCAACAGAAGCTTTCGAGGTCCCCTTCCCTCCTCCTCCTCCTCCTCATTCATCTCTTTTTCTACTCCCCCATTTCCAACATCCTCATTGTTCCTGTTTCTCAGGGCGGCTTCCGAGTCTCTTCAACATACCATCTCCCACGCCAATCTTCTATAACGGAACCGTCGCCGTTTTTAAGGTTCCTCACTTTTTCTCCAACTCTTTCTTCTCTTTCTTGCTTCTCAATTAATTCTTCTTTTTGGGTCTCAAATTTTGGTTTACCTAGCTTACATGGATGGGCTCGCCCCAAACACAGAATTCCTTTGTTATGCAATTCAATTAAATAATACTCAAAACTACAAATTAATCATGGTTTTGGGTTTCACCCTTTTCCCATTGGATCCCGCCTAACATGGATGTAAGCTGTCCAATAAATAATCACAATATAAAAGTCAACCCCTAACTATAAATAAAGAATTTTTAGTTGTCAACCATCAAATCAATGGCTTTGGGCTTTGGGTTCAATTCTAAGCACCACTCCGCATCATTTGGTTCAACTCACGTCAAACAATAAAATATATACATAACTAAAACTGTATCAATAATTTTGTGGCATTCAATGCGAGAAGAAGTTATAATTTTGGTTATGATTGAGACTGAGAATCTTCTCCACTACAACGTTTCTTTTTTTTTCTTTTTGGAAGTTTACGAACAAGGAGTTGACCAAAATGTAAATCAAGTTTTGAACCTAGACTAAGACTAATACACCATTCATTAAGAAGCAACCAAATGTTGATTAGTTACCCACATAACAAAAAGGGTTGAGCTTTATTGATGTCTGTATGTATTTTAAACCACTTCATATTCATTTCCATTATATAATCACAGTCTACCCATAAAAAAAATTAAAAAAAGAAAATCATAGCGTACGATTCAATGTTGGTGGGTTGTAATGAAAGCAACAAGTCGCTGTCTTCACGAGCAAAATAATATTCCCTTCTTCTTGGTTTGAGTCGTTGACCATCCCATTCAGACCTGCACATTTTTTCGTACCTCTCTCAGGCATATCCATGGCAGCCCATGCCAGAGATTCTCTTTCTTTCTCTTCTCAATTAATCCAACTTTTCAATCCATACGCATCAACACACACTGAGACATCATACACATCCTGGACATGACGCGAGCTAGAGCACAAGAAAAATTCAAACCCCATTTGCTTTTAACCCCAAGGAAAAGAATCAAGTATTTTTTGTCAGGTCATATAACCCAATTACAGTTTGATTTTCTTTTTCACAAATATATATGGTTCCTTGTCATGGGAAGCCATTATTGTCGTGGGTCCGATCGAAATGAACAAGACGACTGCTGCTGCATTTGGGGCAACCTTCGACCTGTTTCGGCACCATGAAGTACATGAAGCATCTCTTGCATCCCGCCACCACCAGCACCTCCTCCTCGTTTTCCCTCGGGTATTGCTGTCTACTACCGCTGTAAGATGACGAAGAACACGATTCCTCGCTGCCCTCGTCCGAGGAGCTCTCGTCATCATCGTCGTCGTCTTCGGAGTATAAATCTTTCGCCATCCTCGGATCTTCCTTTACTCTCATTCCGGTCCGGCAGTTTGTGTAGTAGACTTCCCCTGTCTGGAAGACCGAACGGAACTGAATCGCAAAAGTTTATTGAAAATTGGAAAGAAAAAAATAAAAAAAAATGAAAGAGGCAGGGGTCCAAAATCCAGAAAGCTGTTTCTGATCTGTCGTACGAAAAGAGAAGCGAAAAATGGCGGACGATAAAGGAGGTGTGAAATTAATTAATTCTAGGGTTTCGATTCCGGGTGGGAGGAAGGAAAGAAACAAAGAAAGCAAATGATAAAGGCAAATTAATGGGATGAGAAAGTCATTAAAGATGAAACCCAAAGCTTTCTCTCCGACAATCATCATAAAATTAATGAAAAGTACAAGGCAACAGAATTTCCAGAGATCTGCCATATGCGGCTTTGGCATTAAATGAAGCTAGGTTAGAAGAGGAGAAGAAAAAGGAAAAAGGAGAAGTTGGCGTTGAATTAACTAAGCAGACGCAAATTAGACACAAAATGAAAAGCGAGGCGAGAATGGTTACACTGACCTTCAAATGGAGGCATTGTTCCCAGAAAGGAGGGAGGGAGATGTGAGAGTTGAGGTCCAAGGTAGTGTGGAGCTGATGATGACGTTGTTCGTGGTCCAAGAAAGAAGAAGAGGAAGAAGAGGAAGAAGATGCGAGACGGTGGTTGAGGGAGAAGGTGCGGAAAGAGTGCTGGAGAGAATGGGTAGTCGCCGCCGTATCGGGAGATTTCATGGCGAATAAGAAGGAAGAAGAAGAAGAAAGGGCATATTATTGGAAGACGAGGGAGTGGAATCGTAATTCTTTTAAAGAAAAAAAAAAAGGAAAAAGAAAAGAGCAAAAGCAAAGGAAGTGAAGGTGCGCGTGGGAGTTGTTGAGAATATAACACCGACGTGGGGGGTAAAGGAAGAAGAAAGTTTGGTTAGAATTAGGTTAATTTAATTGAATTGAAATTTAATTTTTTATTTTTATTTTTATTTTTATTTTTATTTTTATTTTGGACCAATAACATACATACTTCAGTTAATTTAGCATATTTTGTAAACCCCAATTAAATTAAAAAGAAAAAACCAAGGTATCATACGACGTCTCCATGCGAGGCCAAACCTAAACCAATTTTCTTACGCCAAATTTCTCCTCTTTCCCTTCCATCGTAATCCTCCCCTTCCGCCGTTTTTCGTTTTTCCGATTCGCCGTCGGACCACCACAGGGAAAAACCTTTCCAAATATGTCCGAGGACGACAAGCCGGTCGGAAAGACCGCGCCCAACGCCATCTTTGACGATCCCCAGGGGGTTCCTATCCAGCAAACCATGTTCCGCGACACTCCTGCTCCTTTCTACTGTGTTTATTGTGGAATTTCCGGTCTCACCACCGTCAGGTGCCCTTTCTACCTTCTCTCTACCACTGCGTCTACGTTGCTTTTCTCCTCTCTTTTATCTTTTTTAAATTCTGCCTTAATTTTTTTTTTTTTTTTTTTTTTTTT